GGCGGCCGGGCGGGCGCGCGTGCGTGTTACGTCAGCACTGTGCGCCGCGCCGGCCGCGGGCGTTCCGCGCTGCGCTCGCCTCTGGGCCCTTGCCAGCCTGGCTCGGGCTGCGGGCGTCCGGGGCGTGGACGGCACGCCCGGCGCTGCAGATCGCGTGTGCTCTGAGGGAGTCTTAGATCAATGGAGGCACAGCAAAGGGTTTGGGAAGAAGCAGTTTGTGACTTGAGAAACTCCAAAGCAGAAGAGTTAGTATTTCAACGACAAGGTGTCAGAGGCAAGTCTTTATGGAGAAGCAAAATAAACGATTTCATTGCTTACGGTTACAGAGCTGCCTGTTTTCTGGTTGACTTTGCTGAGAAGTGCATAGTCACAAATGCTATGTTGGTCTCCAGTGATTGGTAAGGTTAAGTTTTCTGTCTAACATGATGAGCATTTGTTAGTGATGGCCTGAATTTAGTTTCACCTGTATTTCCAAATTAAACAAGGTTAAAGTCATTTAAGGCTATTTGGTTTTGTCTGCGCAGGGTTTCTTCGGTCCCAGTTTACATTTTGCTGTACAGTTGTTCTTAATGATAATTCTTCCAGGCCAGCCAGGGGCATCTGTATCCCTCCTGGTCAGCTATGCAGTTTGAGTAGGGACTCAGGGGCAGGCTTGTGTCGTTTTTATCCAAAATCCCCAGATGAGAATGGAGAAGAAGGGATTTCAGGGCGGCTAACCCCACTGGGGAAATACTGTCTCACTTTCCTCGCCTCTGGTGAGTGCTTGGGTTTTATAGCAAATTTTTAAAAACCAAGACAGATAGCTTAGTGGTTAAAGCACTAAAGTCCTATCTGGTCTACCATAGTTGAGTCCAAGAACCGGGGTTTGAAACTCACACCATGCACATGCTCCCAAAATTTGGAGAGGAGACTGGAGGAGAAGGTTTTTTGCTGTGGCCATCCCCTCTGGGGTGATTTCTCACTTTCCATCTCTCTGGCTCTCCAGCAGGCACTCACACCCTATAGCAAAAATCTCACACACAAAAATCATGCGACTGGGGCCAGCAGTTGGCATAATGGCTATGTCAATGAACTCCCATGTAATTGACTGTGGTTCGAGTCCCAGACCCAATGTCTGGCATGTGTGCATGTGTGCCCAACATCCCAGGAGGAAAATGGAGGAGAAGGGATTGAGGTGTGGCCATTCCCCCTGGGGGGTGATTTCTCACTTTCCATCAGTCTTTCTGGCAAGTGCATGCACCCTATAGCAAGAACCTCTCCAAAAATGAAAAAATAATAATAAATAAATAAATCATGGGGCCAGCAGATGGTGTAGCAGTTTTATGACCACAGTTGGAGACCCAGACCTAGTGGAAATCACGCTGGGCACCTCTGCATGCCTACCCAAGACCCTGGGACGAGAATGGAGGAGAAGGGATTGGGCATGTCCCTCCCTGCTGGGGAGTGACTTCCTCGCTGTCTCGTCTGTCTCTATGGAGAGCCCACATGCCTTAAGGCAAAAAAAAAAAAAAAAACCTCTTAAAAAAATTATAATTATACCATACTGTGAAAAGAAAAAGCACCTAGGCCATTTTAGTGAGCAAATACATTGGAACAATCCTTGTAAGGTCAGATGCATAAATAAATTTTGTTGGACCATATGAATAAAAAGCAGTGGAATATGGCCATGCCATAATCCTTTCTCCTCCATTTCTCTAACTTGTCAGGATTCGGGACATGCATGCACACATGCCTAGAGTGCTTTTTAAGCCACCAGAGATTGAACCGTGGTCAGCCATGTGGGATCTGGCTCCCTGAGCCACTAGCCTTGGGGCTGGCCCACTAAGGGCATTTTAGATTTAGAAAGCTCACATTTATGTATACAGTAGGGTCTTAATTATGTGGAAAATATCAACCAAATGAAATATGTTGAAAATTTTAATAGGAAATTTGAAATATGGGCAAATTTTATCCTTTCTGATTTTCCAAATCTTCTATAATAAGTACTACTTTTCAAAAAGATTTATTTATTTAATTTTATTTGTTAATACTATATTTTAATTTGACCAGAGAGAGAAAAGGAAAGGGAGAAAGGAAACTGCCAGGTCCAGGACTTGAGCCACAGTCAGCCATATGAGAGTCCAGCACCTTCACCACGCCACTTGCCAGCCCCAATATTGCTTTTAAAGGAAAGAAAAACAGGCATTTTTTTGCTTGTTTTATTTCAATTACCGTATATGAATAAAAGAAAAAAATCTTAAAGGTCACCATTGTGACTACCACCTACCACGCATCGCATCTTTCCTGGTGACCTCATAGTTTGTTATGGAAGACTCTATTTTAGGTCATTGACTTACTTCATTTACATATCTAAGAAGAGGTGACCTAGCAGGGAGATGAGTGGTAGGACAAGGACGCATTGCACACTTGGAAGTCAGGAACTTCAGGTGACAGTTAAAAGCATGAGTTTGACTTGGAAAGCACGTTGGTAACAATAACCAGCTGAGGAGTAAACACTGCCATGTTCCAGGCTCTTGTCCTAGTACTCCACATGTATTAACTCACTTAATCCTCCCAACAACTTTGGAACAGTATTATTTATTAATTCTCCTCAGTTTGACAGATAAGGAAACGTGAGAGAATGCATTAAAGCAACTTGCCCAGCATGATCACCTAAGGTGAACAATATCAATCTGTTTACATGAAAACACTGGCGTGGGCCAAAGAGGGATCCTTCTTGTTTTTCTTTTTTGGAAAGGTTTTTGTTATAGGGCGCTTGCATTCCCCAGAAAGAGACAGAAAGCAAGAAATCACCCCCCGGGGGGGGAGGGATGGCCACGCCGCAATCCCTTCTCCATTCTCCTCTCGGGATCTTGGGCACGCAAGCACACGTGCCCAGCGTGAGTTTAAGCCACTGGGTCTGGGACTCAAACCGTGGTCAACTATAGGGGAGTCCAGCGACATAGCCATCACGCTAACTGCTGGTCCCAAGGGATTCTTCTTAAGGAAACTATTTCTGCATTTATTTGGGGTTTCTCAGGGTATACTGTATTTTACAGTTTTTGTTTCTTGTTTTTGCTAGAAGGCACATGTACTCACCGGGGAAAGACAGAGATGAAAAGGGCCAAAGCAACCTTCAGTGGGGTGTGGTGACGCCGCAATCCCTTCTCCATTTGTACATCTTGTCACGAAATGGGCACACGCACACGCATCCCACATGGTTTTCAAGCCACCAGAGCTGAGATTCAAACCACAATGCACCATGTAGGATCCAGCACCCTTAACTACTTGACCAGGGGGCTGGCCTCACTTTTTTTTTTTTTTTTATTAAAGATCAGAAGGTGTGTGCCATCACCCGAGAGAGAGAGAGAAAGTACACCCAACAGGGTGTGATCACCACAATCCCTTCTCCGTTTCTCCATCCTGTTGGGACTTTGGGCACACACACGTGTACCCAGCTGCCAGGGCCAGGGTTCACACCACAGTCAGCCATGTGGAATCTGACTCCCTTAACTACTTGGCTAGAGGTCTGGCCCTATCATTTTTGTCAAGTGATAAAATATTTTCACTAAGGCAATGAAAATTCCATTTACTTGATTGCCCAATGACATATTCCTATCATTTTAGAAATGTATATTTCTCCAACCTTATTGAAGTTTAATTGACAAAAAGCTATGTATTTATGATGTACAATGTGATGTATGTATATATACACACACATTATGAAGTGATTAACAGCTAATAAACATGTCTATCACCTCGCGTAGTTATCCTTTGTTGTTCTGGGGGGTGTGCATATGTGTTTGGTAAGAAAATCTACTCTTTTTTTTTGGAGAGATTTTCACTGTAAGACGCGTGCGCTCGCCAGACAGACAGAGAGAGACAGAGAGACAGAAAGCGAGAAATCACCCCCCAGGGGGGATGGTCATGCTGCAATCCCTTCTCCTCCATTCTCCTCTCGGGATCTTGGGCACGCACGCACACGCGCCCAGCGTGAGTTTTAAGCCACCGGGTCTGGGACGTGAACCGCGGTCGACTACGTGGGAGTCCAGCGACATAGCCATTACGCTAACTGCTGGTTCCCAAGAAAATCTACTCTTCAGCCAGCTCTGTGACCTAGTGGTTAGAGCAGCTGGATCCCACGTGACTGTGTGGTTGGAGTCCCACACCCAGGAACTCGAAAAACATTCTGGGTGTGTATGAGTGCACCAAATCCCAACAGGGTGGAGGAATAGAAGAAAAGGAATTATAGTGTGACCATTCCCCACAGGGGAGGGGAGAGTGCTTTATCCTCTCTGATGTGGCAAGATTTTTTAGAAAGTCAGCAATTTTCAAAAATTCAAACATGTATTATTTTGCTTGCTTCGGCAGCACATATACTAAAATTGGAATGATATATAGAAGATTAGCATGGCCCCTGCACAAGGATGACACGCAAATTCGTAAAGCAGTCCATAGTTTTAGTCAACCGCGGTTTAAATCCTGGACCCAGTGGCTTAAACTCATGCCAGGCACGTGTGCATGTGTGCCCAAGATCACAAGAGGAGAAGGAGAAGGGATTGCGGTATGGCCATCACCCCTGGGGGGCGGTGATTTCTAGCTTTCTGTTTCACACACAAAGTATTATTAACTGTAGTCGCCAAGCTGTACAGTGGTTCTCCAGAATTTGTTCATCCTGACTAAGACGTTATACATTTGAGCAGCATCTACCCATGCCCCTCACCACCACTTGGCAGGCATCATTCTGCTGTCTGGTTCAGAGTGGATTTTTTTTTAGTTTCATATATAAGTGAGATCATGCAGTATTTGTCTTTCTGTGTCTGGCTTAGTTCACTTAACATAATGTCTTCTAGGTATAGCCATGTTTTAAATGACAAGATTTCCTGTATTAAAATGAACAATATTCCATTGTACCACATATTCTTTGACCATCCATCCACAATTCCATATCTTGGACCTTGTAAATAATGTAATGACATGGGTCTACAGGTGCCTCTTTTTTTTTTTTCAAACTGTATCCAGCTTTATTAAAGATATTTCTGATAAACAATCATGGTATTTCAGGCAGGACATGGGCAGACGATCGTTAACAGAATACAGCAACTTTCAAACTCCCTTCTTCAATGAACTACCAGAATCAGAAAGCCACTATAAAACCCAATGAAGTCTTCATTTGATGCTCTGAACAGGGAAAGTTTAGAGTGAGGGTTGACATTTCACATTTAGCATGTTTAACAACTTTTCACGAGCCGACCCTGACTTTCGGGAAATGAAAATCACAGAATCATCAACCTGAAGATCCAACAATACAGAAAAGGAACGGCTGCTCTTTTGAAGGATGCCATCTCAATGTCATTGGCAAGTCCGGATTGCCTGACATACTGGCATAACCAATTTCCTGTGGTCAGGTCCCCACAGGTTTCTGGTTAAAGGGAGTTAAGTCTATGCTGAAGGCAGAGAGGGAGAGGACATCAAAGCAAATGTTGAGTTTTCCACACCACAAGGCTTCTGTGTGTGTCAGGGAATCCCTCCTCTTGGGAGCCAAGAGGAAGTCTCTCAACACTAGAAGGGAAAGATGTTGTCCAAATCAATCCAGCTTCAGAGACATTCTATTAGTGACAAATGCCCCTTCCCCAAAAAACAACAATGAAGTGTTCTCTGTGCTAACAACATAGCTTAAAAAAAAGGTAAAACAAAATTCTGCATTTTTATAAAACTTGATAAAAAAATAGTATTTCAAACTCTACAGTCACCAGAAGTACAGTTATCAAAAACGCACACACTGCACTCGGCATCTCCAGCACCTGCAGCTTTCTGTGCCTGGTCTGTTCTGGCTTCTCCATTTTCTGCAGGGTTATTCCCATTTTTGCCAGCATCAGCTTTTCCCTTTTTTCCTTTGGGTACCTGCTCTCCCTTCTTTGCAAAGGAAGGGCCTTTTTAGGCTTGGGCTCTGGTTTTGGAGGAGAAGGTTTTGCAGACAACCTTGCAGATCTTCTCTGTGGTTCGTCCTTCACCTTGGCTTTACCCCCTTTAGCATCCCGTTCAGCTTTTCTCTTGGGCATGGTGGCGATGATGGCGGGACTTTGGCACTGGACATGGGATGCAGCCACATGTAGGCTTTGGTTGGTCCGGGGGTCGATCTCGCCTCTTCTTCCTACAGATACCTTTTTGATAACTAATTTCATTTCCTTTGGTTACATCTAGGAATAGCTAAGTTATATGGTAGTAATATTTTTAATTTTCTGAGGAATCTCTATGCTGTTTTCCATGATAATTTATATTCCACTAACTGTACAAGGATTCCTTTTTCTCCATAACCTCTCCAACTCTTGTTTTTTCTTTAAATAATTATTTTTAAAATTTTCTTTCTTTTAAAAAAATTTACCTTTATTTATTATTATTATTATTATTTTCCAGTTTGATCAGACAGAGAGAAGGAAAGCAAGAAAGCAAGCCACCAGGTCCAGGACTTGAACCATGGTTGGCCATGTGGGAGTCCAGTGCCTTCAACACCATGCCACCTGCCAGCCCCTCTTTCTTTATTTTAATTTGACCAGAGAGAGACAAGAGAGAGAAAAAGAGAGGGAAAGTGAGAAAACAAGCACCAGGTCCAGGACTCAAATAATGGTCGGCCATGTGGGAGTTCAATGCTCTTAACCACATGCCACCTACTGGACCCCCAACTCTTCTTTTTGTCATTTTTATCAGTCATTCTAACAGGTGTGAGGTTATGTCTCATTTTGGCCTTAATTTGCATTTTCCTGGTAATTACAAATGTTGAACATATTTTCATATATCTGCTGGCCACTTATGTCTTCTTTTGAGAAATGTCTAGTTAGAGCTTTTGCCTTTTTTTTTTTTTTTTTTTGCCAGAGGGTGCATTTGCCCACCAGAGAGATAAAGCAAATACCCTCCAAAAGGTATTTGCTGCAGTTCTTTTCTATACATTTCTCTATCCCATCAGAATTTTGGGTACACACACGCCCAGCATATTTTTCAAGCCACTGGGGCCAATATTCAAACCAGTCACCCATGTGGGCTCTAGCTCCCTGTGCACAACACTTAAAAGCTATGCCGTGGGGCCAGTCCTCTTTTACCTATTTTGTAATTAGGGTATTTGTTTCTTGTGACTGAGTTATTTGAGGTCCTTATGTATTTTGTATATTAGCTGCTTATTACATGTAATGTTTGCAAATTTGCAAATATTTTCTCCCATTCTGTAGGTTGTTTTTTTCACTCTGTTGATTGTTTTCTTTTCCGTGCAGGAGCACTTAAATTTGATACAATTTCATTTGTCTGTTTTGTTTTCCTATGTTGTCTGTGCTTTGGGAGTTATAGCCAAAATATGATTGCCTAGACCAATGTCTAGACACTTAATACTGTTTTTCATCTAGTAGTTTTACAGTTTCAGGTCTTATGTTTAAGTCTTCAGCCCATTCTTAGTTGATTTTTGCATGTGCTGTAAGGGTCTACTTTAATTTTGCATATGGATATCCAGTTTTCCCAAAACCTTTTATTGAAGAGCCTATGCTTTCCTCCATTGTGTGTTCTTGCCACCTCTGTCAATCAATGGACTGTGTAAACGTGTGAATTTGTTTCTGAGCTCTCAATTCTGTTCCTTTTATTTATATGTCTGTTCTTATACTAGTACCACACAGTTTAGATTACTATAGCTTTGTAGTATGTTTTAAAATTGAGTAGTGTGATGTCTCCAGCTTCATTCTTTTTGTTTAGAATTATTTTGGGTATTCATGTTCTTTTGTGATTCTGTACAAATTTTAGATTTTTTTTTCCCTGTGAAAAGTGCTATTGGGAGTTTGATAGGGATTGTATTAAATAAGTAGATTGCTTTGGGTAGTATAGTTAGTTTAACAATTTTTTTTTCATTCCATAAAGACAGGGTATTTATTTGTATCTTCTTCAATTTTTTCATCACTGTTATAGTTTTCAATGTGTAAATGTTTCCTTCCTTGGTTAAATTTATTCCTAAGTTTTTTTTTAGTGCTACTGTAAAAGGGACCATTTTATTGATTTTTCTTATCATTGCTAGAGTGTAGAAACATCTTTTTCATGCTAGAGAATAAGCAGTCGGGCCTGGTCATACAGCAATCTTTTTCTCTGGTTCTCCCTTCCGTCAGGATCCTGGGCATGCCATGTGGAATATGGCTCCCTATTTGCACTGGCTAATTGCTGATTCCTGATAGTTAGTTGCAGATGGAGTCTTGCAATATCACCATCCTCTTCCCTGCCTTAGCTTCCCAGTAGCTGGGATTAGGGGCATGTGCCACCATACCTGGCTAGAAATGCTGTTTTTTATATGTTGATTCTGCATCCTGCAACCTTATTCTGTTTTTGGGGCAGGAATAAAAAGATTTTATGGGCCAGTAGGTGGCATGGTGGTTCAGGTGTTGGACTCCCACATGACTGACTAGTTCAAGTTCCAGACCTGGCAGCTTTCTCTCTCTTCCTCTCTCTCTTCCCCTCCCTCCTTCCCTCTCTCCCTCTCTTAGAGCACATGTGCCCTATAAGAAATGATAATAATTAATAAAAATATTTAAAATAAATTCTTATTAAGTTTTAAATCCTGTTTTCAGGCCAGCCCTATGGCCTAGCATTTTAAGGGAACCAGATGCCACGTAGCTGATCATGATTTGAGTCCTCCCAGCCCCAGTGGCATGAAAAACACTGGGCACATGTGTGTGTGTGTGCCCCAAACCCCAACAGGATAGAGAAATGGGAGAGAAGGAACTGTGATGTGACCACCCCCCCCGGGGGGGGGTGCTTTCTCCCTTTCTCTCTTTCTAGTGAGTGCACAAAACCTCTGGCCATTGAAGGGGGTGGGTAGTCCTGTGGCATAGGGATCCAAGTAGGATCTTGTGACTGGATCCCACTTGGATGGCCAACGAAGTGGTTCAAATCCCAGTTCTGGCAGTTTGATAAACATGCCAGATGTGAGTGGATACATTGCCCCAAATCCCAACAAGTGGGAGAAATGCCTAAGGGATTGTTATGTGACCATGCCCCACTAGTGTTTTTTCTCTCTTCCTCTCTGTTTTCTCTGGTGAGCACACACACACCCTGGCTTTTCGTGTCCCACTTCCCAAAATAAAAAAACCTGTTTTCACCAAAGGGGAGGATGAGTATGTCTTAAAGTAGGCACTCTTGCAGCCGGCAGGTGGTACGGTGGTGAGGGAACTGGACTCCCACATGGCTGAGCACAGTTCAAGTGCTGTGGCTTGTTTCCGCACCTCCCCAGTCTCTTTCTCTGTCTTTCTCTGGTGAGTGCTTGCATCCAATTAATAATAGTAACAATAAATAAAAAATACATTTTTAAAAGTAGGCACTTTTCTCCTTGATGTCCATTCTAGGCTGTTATCTTTTCCAAGAATAGTCCAGTTCCATCCAAATACGTTCTCACAGGCAATAACCCGTCCTCCATATTATACGCCTGCCAATAATGTT